TGTTAGCAGAGCTGTACGTGGTAGCAATTGATGATGGGCACTCTTCCAGGTACCAGGGACGGTGATTATCGTAGGTTGCGGATGAGATGGACAAGGTGTAAACTGATGTCGTATATCCGTCAGCAGAGCAGGAATCTTGCCTAAAAATTTAGAATTTACTTGAGTTATTTTGTACTGTTTACGTAAAATGGTAGCACAGCATTTCAAGAAAGTAGGTTCTGACGGACAAAATAAACTGAAAATAGAAATCTGCATCACATTTTACTTCTCTTTTATCTACACAGAATTTCACGGAACACTAGAACTAATCAGAAAAGTCGTGCTAAATATTTCCTTAGAGTCTGTGAATCGAAAATTGATATGCAATGCATTTGCAAAGATGAACCCTCAATGATTTTCCAGTCAACTTGAGTAAATAATGCAAGTCGTATAGGTGTAGAAGGTGATATCGTACGGAAAATTAGTTTTGAAAACTGCGACCCTCACCTTGAACCACCATTTCCACTAGCCCATACAAAGATGTTTCCTTTCCCACGTCGACCATTCTTAATTCCTCGGTAAAAAGCTTCTCTCGCCAGTGGTCCTGGACCATCAAAGGTTTTGCCATCATCTTCAGGCCCCCAACTAGCCGAATAGATATCAATATGTTGCTAAACGAGCAGAACTTTTTGCTGAATAAACAACAAAACAGGCTTTTGTCCATCAAAACAATCACTAACCTGGTTGAGCGAAAGAGAAGCAGCCTCGACACTATCAGACACAGCCCCGTCAAGCATCCGAACCTAGAACAACGCATATTCACTCATAGTCATACTCAGTCGGAGGAAAAACACCATTATTTTTTTAGCAAGGCGAACGTTAAAGGAAGTACTGAAGACTACTTACCCCTCCAATTTTTGCTTTGAAAGCTACTCCAACACCGCAATGCTGGTTGCCAGCTATGGCTGCCACCTCGCCAGCACATCGAGTACCATGCCTGGAAAGCCAGTGCCAGTATTTTGAAAGAAAAGGGACAGATTAGCAGAAAAACAAGAAAAAACAAACAAAAAGAGAGCAATGGATAGATAACATGTCAAAGCTTACTTGTTATCGCCGTTATTCTGAGGGGTAGGGTCATCATCATGATCGTTTATATCGGTACTGGCAAGTGGATCGTAATTAGTAATGAGATCAGGATGGTCCCTAAAATATCGTATAGCCTATCAAATTAAATCGAAAAACTACACCAACCTTTGAATTCCGTCATCAAGGATGGATACCGATACATTACGGCCAGCGTATCCCATGAGCCACGCTTCGCGAACGTTCATATCATAGTTACCTACCGCTCTGCCTACCTGGAATGCCCGAATTTAAGTAGGATACTAGAAAGTTGAGAAGGATATTATTTTCCCAAGAATTACTTACCAGATACCACTGGTCTTGGTAGAGCGGATCAGGAAACGGTAAACGAGGTATCTCACGAGGTGGTTCCAATCGACTTTGCCGTCGTTGTA